GAGTGTGACAATGTGCCAGCCAGCCTCGGTCAGCCCCTTCACATGAAGAGTCCATATCAGATTTTGCCGCCAGCAAAGTCCCTGCCTCCCCTCCGCCCGCCTACCCTTCTCTCTCTCTCTCTCTCTCTCTCTCTCTCTCTCTCTCTCGCCGGCGGTGGTGAGGGAGGTGAGATGGGGCAGACGCATTGTTCCGCGCTGCAGTAAGAGGGACAAAGAAGGCCTTCCTCAAAGGAGGAGAGGGGATGAGGAGGAAGCTGGAGAGAGCAAGGAAGGCGGGGAAAGGGGCGCTAAAGAAGCTCCCAGCAGCAGAGAAAGATACACCGGACGTGTGGGAGGATATGAGGTCGGCGTTGTCCAGCCACTCGGCGACATGCTCGCGAGCAGCGCTCGACTGCACCGCTGCCGCCAGTCTTCCCTCCTCTCGTAAAGGACTCACACGTACAGGGCGCTCGCGCACACACACGTGCGCGCGCGATTCTCTCGATTGGTATCGGCCGTTATCTCTCGCTGCCTCTCACCTGCAACAAATGACAGAAACACAATGAAGCTAAGAGTCGAGAGAGGGTGGGGGATGGCACGGCGCCAGGCCCTAACTCCCCCCGATACACCTTCATTATCCGAGTGTCCGGAGCCGATTGGGTCCAAACGAGGTCCCCGCCCGGCCCCGCCCGGCCCCTGGCCGGGGCTCCAACTCTGTTACAGCTTCCCCACTCGCCCCCGTTATTTCTCTCGCGCGCGAACGCCGCAACTTTTCCATTTTCCTCCCTCTTTCCCCTCTCGCATTTAATTTTTCCTCCCTCCCTTCGTCGAGCTCGTGTCAGACGAGAAGGAGGAGCAGGACGGCCCAGGCTGCTGCTGCTGCTGCTGGGGTTGCGGGGCCAGTCAGGCCCGATGACTCGCAGCCCTGTCACCCCGGCCGTCCAGTCGGAAGGGGGAAAAGGGAAGGGGGGGTCGGCAGTGACGCGCGCTGGCGATAAACATCGAGGGGATGACTCCCCTCCCCCCGCCCCGCGCCCGTCCTGCCCTGGCTGCTCCCGGTCCAGCAGGGGGCTGCTTATATAAAAAATACACACAAAAGATGAAAAATTTAACAATCTCTTTGGGGATCACGACGGCGACACCGAGTGGCGCCACGTGGCGCCCGCGTTCGGCCGGTTATTATACCCCCACCGCAATGCGGAAAAAGCGTCATGAAAAGACATACACCGCGCGCAGCTTCGCACACCGTTCTGAGCAAAAAACGCAACTCCACCCCCCTCGCAAAAGAAAGACATGCCATGCATACATGTCCCATGAGATGACCGTGATTCGCACGCATCATCTTCTTGCCGCCTCCCAGCTGCGCTATGAGAGGTGACGCGAGTCTGTTTTACTTTTCTCATTATAGAGTTTAGCAGCGCCTCGCCCCGCTGCACTTGTTCCTGATGAAGAAGCCCCCCTATAGAACGAGCGGGCGCGACTATAGTGCGTCGTCGACGGCAACGCGCTCTTCGGAACGCACCC